GATGGAATGATTGGTAGTAATAAGAAAGAACTGAAATTCACACTCACTCTCCCCTTGGATTTCAGTTTTTGAGAAGAACAATTTATGCTCCTAGAAAGAAACATCCATAGAAGTGAAAACATTTTTGGTAGAAAAAGAGTAACATCGATAACCTTTTTGAAGAGAGGAAAAATCAACAAAGATACACCAGATCGCTCGAGGATCAAGCTTAGATTTATGGTGGTTATGATCATGGACAAAGGTTCTACAACCAAAGACATAAAGAGAAACAGAAGAGATTAAAGGTTTAAAATGAGGGAAATATTGTGCAAGTATATCCCAGAGATATTTAAAGGCAACAATCTTACTAGGAAAATGATTAATAAGAAATGTTACAGTTAAGAGAGCATCACCTCAAAGATATTTAGGAACATTAGTAGGGAAAAAGTGCTCAGTTATGTGATTACTATATATGGTCGCGAAAATATGTACAAGTATACACAATCGAACAAGTAATACAGTGATGAGTGAGTATCGTATCCACAGGATTGGAGGAAATTGATAAGTTCAATCAAAGCAATCTACGTTACCTAAGTATAGTTAGTGATGATATGTACATATGAGAATGTTGTGGCAAGATGAATGGATGTTGTGGAAATGGAATGATGGTAATATGGTAGCAAATGGATATGTTGTGGCAAATTATATTGTGTTCGGTGCAAATAAATGAAAATGTAAAGGCAAACAAAAATGTAAATGTTGGATTTGATTATCAGAACTTTAGACTTCTCACACGATAAGCTACTATAGGAATGAATGATAGAAATCACTTGGGAAGTTTAAGTCTACTTTTTAGAATGGTCTTACTTCTATGCCTTATCTGCCCGACAGAGTTTACTAAGAGTGCCCTATGCTAAATCTAGTTAAGGGACTCGATAGATTGAAGATGCTATGGCAAACTGATTGGCGTTAGCTACTACAGGGATCCTATTTGTCCAGATAACAAGATATGTCACAACAATACCTTTTAGCGGCAACACTAACATCTAACCTCTCGATCACACACTACTCCTTTTAGTCGACTGAAATCCTAGCCTTATCTCTAAGGTGGATTAGGCCTAGTTGCTTATGTAGTTCCTCCCTAGTTTCTCTCGAACACTAAGGATGTGCTACTTAGACATTCTTTCGAACACTAAGTAATCTCATAAGGAATGACTACTCTCATAGCTCTTACAACCTTAAGGCATTAAACTTCATAAAAAAAACAAATAACAACATACAAAAACAACCATTCATTAAAGTAAAACTTAAATATCCAAAATGAACTCCCACCAATAAGACTAGTTCATGGCGGGGTTCGAATGTTTCAAGCACAAAGCAAGAAGTTAATATGTACCTTAAAACCCAAATAATAAAAATGAAAGCAAGGAGCAAAGGGAAATAGGAAAAGTCTTCGATGTGCATTGCCGGAGCTCCCTTCGGCTACCACGAACTGCCCCAGCGAACTAGCTCCTCTCGGACGCCTAGTTCAACACTCCCTCTAGCTTATCAACGGAGGAATACCATGACAAATAGGATTGGAGGAGAAAGGAGAGACATTTTCCTCCGAAATTTATTGCTTATGGTGGCGTGTGTAAAGTCTCTTTTTCATCGTGGCTTCATCTCCTATTTATAAGGGGAGAATAAACCTAGGAATTTGTGTTAAAATTCCTAGGATGCCCTAAACATGCTTCATTCACATGAGAGGGTGAGCAGAGGTGGTAGTGGTCCCTTTGGGCAGCTGGCTGAGTACCCGAAAATATCAGGTTGCAGCAGGTCATTGTCCAGCAGAATCAGCTGCAATAGGTGATGGTCCAGTAGGGTCATTTGTAGCAGTGCGTTGTCCCCTCCAGGCATATGTCTCATCTCGGGTAGAGGTCACGTGAAGATAGGGACAACTGGCTCTGAAAAATATCTTATTTCGTTTTGTTTGCTCTCGAAATTCCAACCGATTCTGCATTTGCATTCTGCTCAGCAGTCTCATCATGTCACAACACTTCCCTTTTTCTTATCCTTGCTCCCAAATCTTGCACATCACCAAATAAGCACCTTCCCTATAACACAACACCGATTATAAAATAAAATACCGTGACAAGCATAATTCCACAACATGCAACTATATGCTCCTAAATGCATCTATATGATCCTACATGGGCTTTTAGATAGTCAATAACTTAAGTAAAAAGGTCCCAAATATGACTTTTTTTACGGAGTTATCATACCCCAAACTTAAGCTATTGCTTGTCCTCAAGCAATGAATAGTATTAAGAAAAATAACAATACCATGACAAGTTCAGAAGCAAAATAGTTATATGGGATAAACTTTCAGTCCTTAGAACATTTGGCTTCAACACGCTAGACTAGTTTGAGAAATCAAGTACTGTGGCAAGATCCTTTGTGTGAATGTGTACGTGTGATTGTATCAAGTCCATTCTTAACAAACCTAAAACTTTTCTAAGCAAGCTCTCTTATTTTTTCATGACATTTACAAGTTTTACTCCCATATTGTTTTCTTTTCTTTCATTAACTCTGGTACGAGGGGAGTCAGCTCATCACACCTACCATCCCACACTCTAGGTGAAAGGGAGCATACCTTCCACCCGAGTTAGTCCGGTAGAGTCATCCCGTGACTACTTTCATTTACTCATATGTCATAGCTGCCATTTATTTATATGTAGTTTCCAGGAAATGCCATGGCATGGCGGAGTGTTCCTCTATAGATATGCCGAAGCATTTATTCATAATTTCATTCATTTTTTTTCAATGTGGGGTTTTCATCATTCATTATCAAAGTTTTATGTCATGTAATTCAAGAATTCTCTTATGAAAAATTTCTAAGTTCCTTAAGCATGGAAAACATACAGTCATGTACTCAAAGGTTTCAAAGAAGCAATCCTAGAGTTGGTTCTATCATCCTCAACAGTTATGCATATTCAATTCTAGCCATAAAGAGTTCATCATCATCGGTCATCCTTAATTTATTCTAGAGAACTAATTCTAAAACTTACTAATGTCATGGCATATTTATTATACTAATAATATATATGCTATGACTTGTGAACCCTACCTCCCCCAAACTTGAGAGAAGAATTGTCCTCAATGCTTACTAAAACCTAAGGTAAAACAAACTACATGCTATGAAATACAATGCAATGCAAGGTACCTCGACTTTATGTTTGTGGTAGTGCGGCGGTAGTGCGACGTGTGCACTTGCACAGTTGTGTGGGGCTGAATGTTCAGAGTCTGATGATGGTGCAGTAGGGGGAGTACTTGGTCATCCTGCGACTGGGGAGAGCTGAGGCTCCTCACGCCTAGACACATTCTTCAATCAGCTTTACAGGCTACGGGGGTTCTGGTACAGTGGATAGTTGGAGCTCGTCTTCTCGACGTTCAGTTGATGACACATAATGAAATGGATTAGGATCAGTTGGTTCCTCCTCATTGGTGGGCTGATGAGCAGCTTCAGATGCTTTGACATTTTCAGATGGTTGCAAGAGCGTAGTAGGGAATATGGGGATATCAAAATTCATGTGCGGGAGAATTTCCATGAAAGCATTTGCATTAAACTCATCTCGGTAATGTACATATGCAAAGATGGTTATCATGTTGCTAGTTAGCTGCTCGACATGCTCTTGAGTTCTCTTAGTGACCTCCTTTAGGGACTTTAGTTTTGTCCTTACATTTGGAGTTGCATCAGCACGAGAAGTGTTCTTCTCTTTTTCTTTTCCCTTGGTTTCCTTGAATCCAAGTAACATAGGAATCTTGGCCTTTGTAATACCAGCCAGCCCATGCAATATCTCATCACATTGTTCCTCGGGCACATTCTTCTTATGACAAAGAGTCATAATGAGGTTTGAAAATACCAAGGCACTGGCAGGTCTCTTCAGACAGGTATGAACTTGTTCCACAATGATTTTTCTTATGTCAATGGAACGTCCTACTAAAATAGTATGCAAAAGAAGCATCATCTGCAATGAAACAGTGGCGTTGTGTGCAGTAGTGAAAATCTTGTGCTTAATGAAGTGATTCCACAACTTGGCCCTTAGCTGTAACCTCTCTCGATCCACCGTTCGTCAGCTTCATTGCTGGTCATTCCACTGTGTGTTTGAAAAATAGAGGTCTTCCAAAATGGCATGATAAGTTTCTTTGTCTGCCTTTTTCGTGAAAGTGGTATGGTTATCAATAACATCCTGTAAATTAAAATAGGGATTAATAGCTGAAAGAGTAAAGCGAATAGAAATACCACGAACCACCACGACATGCTAATTCATATAAGTAATGTTGGCGTAGAATTCCTTCACTAGAGATGCATTCATATTCTCCGGATTCTTGGTAAATTTTTGCTTGGTGTACAATGTCTATTATATCATTTCCAAAGTCGACATCTTCCTCGTCGGAGAAAAAAACCCAACTCAAAAAACACATAGCGATTTTTAAGGTTTTGAAATCTTTATTGCGTTGCTTCATCCACAAAATGTGATGGAGATGTTGGAGCCGAGTTGGAGGGACGTGATCTCGCCATGGTTAGTTGACAAGACAAAGAAAAAATGAAAAAACTTAAAGCTTTTTGACTATGACTTTTCGGTGCTAAGGAGGGAAGAAGAAGAAGAAGAAGAGATGCAAACTAAGTGAGAGAGTGAAAAAGATAAGAACAAGATAAAAATTAAAAATGATAGGGGTTATTTAATATGTGGACGGGGTGTTAGCGGGAAAAAAGACAAAAATAAATAAGCAAACCTTAAAGAAAAACTAAAAAAAATAAAAAAGGTGAAAAAGTTAAAAAGTTTTCATCATCTTTTTGTCTTGTTGCCGCACATTTCTTTTGCTTTAACCGTACGGTTATCACGTGCTGGCTGCGTGGACCTTAATTTTGCAAAGAAAAAAAATAAGCACTTAAAAGAAAATGGAATAAAACAGTAGCAAAGTAAATTGTTATTTATGCACAGAAGTAAATCTAAAATGTAACAACATCTTCAAGATGCTTAGCAAGTTTTGACATCGTGCGAGAGGAGTGCAGATTTGTCACGCATGGGCAGAGCTCCTTGATAAGCCTTCAGACGCTGGACATTGACTTTGAAAATGGATCCATCATCCATATTCTTGATATCCACAACTCCATGAGGGTAAACACGATGTACTTCAAATGGTCCTGACCATCGTGACTTCAGTTTTCCAGGGAAGAGCTTAAGCCTCGAGTTAAACAAGAACACCTGTTAGCCAATATGAAATTGCCATGGCAAACGTATTCAATCATGCCACTTCTTGGTTTTTTTAAAGCTTGGAATTTTCATATGCTTGTGCTCGAAACTCTTCTATTTCATTCAGATCGAGTAACCTTTGCTCCCAACTAATTGTGCATCGAAGTTCAACTTCTTGATCGCCCAATATGCCTTATGTTCTAATTCCACAAGTAGGTGACAAGCTTTCCCATACACCATCTTGAAAGGTGACATTCGCAGAGGTGTTTTGAATTCCGTCCGATAAGTCCAGAGCACTTCGTCTAGCTTCGGGTACCAGTCATTCCTTCTAGGGTTCAACACATTCTCTAGGATTTGCTTAATTTCTCGATTGGATACTTCTGCTTACCCATTGGTTTGTGGGTAATATACCGTTGCAATTTTATGTTGTACTCCATACCATATTTTTGTAATGCATTGACAATTAGCTTGTTATCAAAATGAGTGGCCTCGTCACTGATAATGGCTATTGGTGCTCCAAATCGGGTAAAGATGTTCTTGTGAAGAAATTTGAGCACAATTTTAGAGTCATTCCTCGGTGTGGCAATCGCTTCAACCCAGTTAGATACTGTTGTGTTAATCGATCGATGGAATAGGCCAAGAGGGGGGTGAATTGGCACTAAAAATTTCGGTGGAAGCTTTCAGAAAAAATTGAAAATATTTGCACAACGATTTAGAGTGGTTCGACTTTCTCAACTAAAGTCTATGACCACTACCCTAGCTATCCACACTAAGGATTTTCCACAAATTCACTAATTTGTCTTTCTTTTGAGGACAAAGAGTAACCTTACAAATTCCTTAAGAATTATACCCCAAATTATTGATAACACTCTCTCCCAAAGAGAACAATACAAATTTTGCAAACTTATAAGAAAATCCTCACAAGGCAAGATGTTTGCACAATTCTAGAACAAAAAAAGAACACTCAAGAATAATACAATTGAGCACAATAAGTATTCTTGAAAGCAAAAATGAATATTGAATGAAATAGGCTTGAAAATGCTCAAACTTGAGGTTTGATGATTTCTCTTGTATTCTCTCTTGATTATTGTTGATTGTTATTTCTTGTTGTTGATCAATGACTTCTAAGCTTGTTTAAATACTCCTTCAATTGATTCTGAACGTTGGGGATGATTAGTGGAGATAATGGAGTCGTTTAAGTGTGAAAACAATTAATAAAACTATTTGGAGCGTGGGGGAATCGGTACCCCCTCATAGGGAATCGGTTCATGCAGTGTAAAATTCAAATATTTTGACCGTTGAACATAGGGGAATCGGTTCCCTCTGAGCATTCTGTTATTTCTCAGAGCCAAACCATTCAGGGGGAATCAATACCCCATTGTGGGAGAATCGGTTCCCTCTGGGAAATCTGCCCATTTTGGTTTGATTTTAATTAAGAAATGATTTTTGACTCGATTAAGGCTCGAAATACTTTTGTAAATTTGTTTAACATATTTTTACACTTTAATGAAGATTAAAATAAACTTTGAAAGACTTGGAGTAATATTTTTATATTCGAATAATTATATCGAATATACTTTAGAAAACCTTTTGTAAAATCTTAAAATTCATTTAACTTAATTTTTTTATATCGAAACATCAAAATGTTTTCAACAATCTCCCCCTTTTTGATATAACAAAACATTTTAGTAATTTTAAGATTTTCTAAATTGAAAAATCATTTTTGAAATCAAAAATTAAGTTTTGAAAAACTATTCCCCCTTACTTTAACACTTCTCCCCTTTTTGTTAAATTAAAAAGACTCTAAAACTTTTTAAACAAGGTTTTTGAAAAATTAAGCCAATTGATAGATTAAGATAAAGCGTAAGCTGCTAAGATCACAATCAAGAGAAATGTTAGCCATTAGTTTCATAATCCAATATTCATAAACAATGTGAAATGGCAAAAATTGGTCATAATGCAACTAATATGTAAATGATGCAAAAATAAACATTAAGCTCAGAATGAAAGTTAAAACCAAACCAAATATATAAGCATGTAAGTTCAAATATCCAATCATCCAACAAATTCAAACACCCAAAATAAAACAATCCATGAACATCAAAATGTTTTATAATTTAAAGTTATGAGTTCGGGGTTCAGTTCAAGCAAACTAACGCAAGATAGGTCTAGTCATCCGTATGAGGATCGGAAGGAGTAGGATAATATGCTTGCACTTCAAGTGTGAGAGCATCCATACGTTCATGCTTTTCCCGTATTTTGTATGACTCAAAACAAGTATGGTACCTATGGTATAGATCTTGTCTATGACCAGGTACGTTGAAACAAGAGTTCAAAATGGTCATATTTGGGTCATTTGGATTAGGTGGAGGAATAAGAGGTCGGTTTTAACTTGAGCGACTAGACGATGTCCTAGGTCGTTTAGGATTTGACATGGTTTAAGAATCGGAACAGAATATGTAACCTGCAAATTTAAACACGTGTATGCAATATAATCAAACCCAAAACTCAAATGAGTCATCAATATTTCAAGGTTCTCTAAAACAATCCTAATGGGCAAGATTTTTGAAAACTATTGAAAAATAAGGTTTGAAAGTCTTAATCCGTATATTTTCCATGAAAGACAACATAATTGAATAAAAAACATCAATAATTCTAAAAAATAATAATATTTTTTAAATTTCGAAATTCACAGAAAATTTTGAAAAATTGTTCGTTTTTTATGAAATTTGTTGTAAAATCTAGTTTCTAAACACTAATAATCAATTCCCGATATAATGTTCAACTTAGAACTAATTAAAACTATTCCTAAACTCAAAAATTGAAAAAAATAAAAATTTAGAAAAATACCTTGAATATTTTCGGATTTGAGTGAGATTGGATGAAGTTTGCACGATTTTAATGATTCTAGCAGGTTTAGGAGATGAAATACGAAGTGATTCCGACTAGAAATCGATGTTTTAAAGCAATGTAAAGATTTAGGGAGATGGAGAGAGTGAACATCGGCAAAGAAGAAAAGAGAGGGTTTGAGATGTGTAGTTTGGGCATAATAATAACAGACCCCGTGGGGGGTATTGATTCCCTCCAGGGGGAATCGGTTCCCCTTCAAAGGGGAATCGGTTCCCCTTTAAGGGGGTATCGATTCCTCCTGCACCAAAATGCTAAAAATCTGATTTTAAACACTTAGAATGCTAAATTAATTTGCTCTAGTGGTATTTGGTAACTCATATATTAAAAATTAATCATGTTCAATCAATCAATTTTATCTTTAAACTACATTTGAACATAAAATTAATTTTTACTAAGAATCATAAACTCCCCCTAACTAATAGCAAAGAATGTAATCAAAATTATTATTATTATAAGCATTTTTCTTAAAAGTGCTAAAATTAATTTAAACACTAAGTGAAGATAGGTCAGTTAAACCTAATTCTCTCCTAAGTGTCCAAAGTCTTTCTTTGTCTAAAGGTTTTGTAAAGATATCCTCTAATTGGTGCAAAATATCAACAAATTCTAGAACTACATCTTCTTTAGTGACGTGGTCTCTAATGAAGTGATGTCTAATTTCAATATGCTTAGTTCTAGAGTGTTGGATGAGATTTTTAGTGAGACAAATAGCACTAGTATTGTCACACTTGATAGGAATGATACCTACTTCAATTCCATAATCAAAAAATAGTTGTTTCATCCATAAAACTTATGCACAATAACTACCGATTGAAATGTATTCTGCTTCAGTGGTAGATAGTGCAGCATAATTTTGTTTCTTTGAAAACCAAGAAATCAGCATATTTCCAAGGAATTGACAAGTACCGGAGGTGCTTTTCCTATCTAATTTGCATCCTCCATAATCCTCATCAGAGAAGGCATGCAAGCTAAAGCTAGAGTCTTTAGGATACCAAAGTCCTAAACTAGGAGTGTCCTTAAGGTATCTAAAGATTCTCTTGACAGCTAGTAAATGTGATTCCTGAGGATATGATTGAAATCTAGCATATAAGAAAACACTAAACATAATATCCGGTCTACTTGCGGTTAGATAAAGCAAAGAGCCAATCATTGACCTATACAATTTAACATCCATACATTTACCTCTGTCATCTTTGTCAAGCTTTGTTGTCGAGCTTATTGGAGTGGCATGAGGCTTCTCGTTTTCATGTCCAAACTTCTTGAGCATATCTTTGACATACTTAGCTTGATTGATGAAGATGCCATCTTTTCTTTTCTTGATTTGGAGTCCTAAGAAAAATGAGAGCTCTCACATCATGCTCATCTCGAATTCACTTTGCATTTGCTTAGAAAATTCTTGGCAAAGAACATCATTAGTAGAACCAAATATTATATCATCAACATAAATTTGAACTACTAATAAATCTTTACCTTTATGCTTTAAAAACAATGTAGTGTCAACCTTCCCTTTTGAAAAACCTTTTTCAATTAAAAAGTTTGACAATCTTTCATACCAAGCTCTAGGAGCTTGTTTTAAACCATAAACACTTTTGTCAATTTAAGAACATGATTTGAAAATTTTGAATCTTTAAAACCAGGAGGTTGTTCCACATACACTTCTTCTTTTATAAAACCATGTAAAAATACACTTTTAACATCCATTTGATATAATTTGAATTCATTGAAACATGCAAATGCTAATAGCATTCTAATTGCTTCCATCCTAGCTATGGGAGCGTATGTTTCATCATAGTCTATGTCTTCTTCTTGAGTATACCCTTGAGCAACAAGTCTAGCCTTGTTTCTCACTATATTACCATTTTTATCAAGCTTATTTCTAAATACCCATCTAGTACTACAATAGACTTATTACTAGGCCTTTCAACTAATGTCCATACTTTACTTGTCTCAAATTGATTTAACTCTTCTTGCATAGCCATAATCCAATGTTCATCATTTAATGCTTCTTTAATATTCTTAGGCTCTATGCATGAGATAAATGCCACATAATTACAAATATTTCTAAGAGAAGATCGAGTTGTTACCCCTTTGGATGGGTCACCTATTATTTCACCATCCTTGACATAATTGTATTCCCTTGGGTAAGAGACTTCATTTTCTTTAATGGTTGGATTCTCGAGAGGATCTTGAGTTTCCTCATCTTTCGTTTCTTCCTTTGATGATGGTTCTCCAACGTCATTTATGTTTATAATACCTACATCATCATTCATACAAGAATCCTTCCTCGGAAGGGGATTATCATAAAAATCAACATGTATAGACTCTTCTACAACTAAAGTTCTTTTATT